TGCAGTCTGACAAATTGTTTGAAGGAAATTTCAAGGCAGGAGTCTCAAAAGCAAAGTCAAAAGCAAAAATTTAAACAGTGAGAGTGTGTTTCCATGTGACGCTGGTGTAATGTCTGATCAAAAGCTGATCGTGGCAGAACAAGATTGATTGTGTTAGACCGCATTTTGGACTTATTTTGCACTCTGCCCACACAAGATTTTGCGTGTGCATGTTAAGGGGACAATTTCTATTCGGCAAATTAGGACCGAGTTGTGGCGACATTTCTTTGTCCCTACAACATTTTTGGTCCAGAATAAAATTGACGTAATGACACGTTTGTCCCCACAACTACATAGCCATACCTGCCAACATGGAGAAGTCAGAAATCGGGACTCCCATTTTATGGGTTCAAAGCAAGATGGAGAGCCGTGCCGGAGAAGCCATTTTACACATGTAAAATCATATACGAAGCTAACACCTGCCATTCTGACATAGCAAATAGCACCCTCTTTTGCTGAAACTTCTCTAGTATTTTTTTTTCTAATGCAAATTGGAATGTTCTGTTTGCGCTCTGAATATTAAAAAAAATCGGGACAGTAAATTAGGAATGATTTGGGGGTAAGCGGAACAAGTACATGTGTGTGTACAACAATGTACATGTACGTCTTTCATTCCTTTGGTTTGGCCGAAACACACTTCAGGGTGACATAGGGGATACCAAAGTTGGTGTAGTGGTCCTTGGGCCAGTAGCGGAGGACGGGACCCATCTCAGGAAACTCATTCATGGCATCAAAGTAGGCAAAGAGCATGACTGAGCTGTAGGAGGCAACCAGAACCAGGATGTGCCAGAAGCAGTGGAGATAGGGGAAGGACACCAACAGCCAGAAGTCACAGAACAAACGATCCAGAACCCAACAGGTGGTGGCCAAGACCCACAAACACAAGTTGGTGCGACCGAGTCGGGTCACTCGCGGACAGTGGACCCTTTGAAAAAATTACATTTTTCAATTTGAGAATTTTCAAATGTAAACGTATCACCACTTAACCGGATTTAAACGTAAAAATATGAATAAATACACATCTTTTGCGGGGTGGTCTGCTATCGTCAAAGCTTTGACATTTGTTCTCGTTAGACACACGGCTTACCTCTTGAGCTCCAGGTACAATGTAATGACGCCAGGAACAATAAAAAGCATCATCAGGAAGGAGTTGAGCCATGGCTTGACAAAGGCGATCACTGTTCCACACAGTGTCAATATGGTTATGATGATACGGAAAACCTTCCTGAAAAAAAAGATAGCAAAACGAAACGAAAATGAAGCATTACAAAAGAGCGAGTCAAGCAGGTCTGTTCTGAAGTTTCTGAACCAGTTGGCTCATCAGACCTGTGTCAATCTCGGTATTACCTTACACGAAACGAGTGAGAATATTCTCCCCTGATGCCAGTCCATTGCAGGTTGCTCCGTCCCCTGCTAATGCCAGTACCATCTTGTACTCTAGGGTGGAGAGAGGCAAGCTGAGGCAAAGTGCTTGCCCAAGGCTACTTAGCTGCATTTGAAGCCATGACCCTCTGGTCATGAGTCACAAACATTAAAAACTACTAACCCCTTTTTAGGCTTTCACAAATGTTTCTATTCCATTTTTCAGTATAATATCACCATGGAAACCCGAGGCCCATTACGCAAACTGCAACCCATCGAAAAAGTGCTATAAAATATACCGGTATCTGATATGACACAAAAGAATCACTACATCCACAGATCATTTTAACAAACCTATTTCCATTGAGGACTCTCGGATAGTATCGCCGTGGAAACCACAGGCCTGCACCGCACAAGACCACCCACAGAATAGCAACTTCATCAAGCAGTTGGCCCACCAGGCTCAGGGTGCTGTGGAAGTAGACGGAGCACGCTCCGACAACCATCAGGAGCAGCCATATCAGGTTGATGGAAGGGTTGACACGCTGCGCGTACTCCTTGGATAGTGCCCACATGAGGGGCGGGAACACAAAGAAGAGGGCATTGCTGATCTGGAGGGAGTGGGGAATTTCTCACGTCAGAACTGAGCAATACGAATGGGAAATTGCTGAGGAACGATCGAGTGGGCTACACATGCCCCCAATACATGTACATTGTATGTAGGTGTCAAGCCCATCCATGAATAAATTATTGGCAAGCCTTATTACCAACTCACCTGTGTACTCAATGAATGTACAGGCTACAGCATCTACCGGAATACAGGTACATGTAAGTTTTTGGCTTATTGTATGCATGTATATATATTTGAGTGCAAAACGGCATGGTTGAACATGTAGATGTATACATAAAACAGGACTGTTTTACAATATTAATGAGCAATTTTTACATTCAATTTACAATTGAGAGCTCAGGGTGGCATACATCATGAACATGTAGTAAAGTTAAGGTACTAGTGCACTTACACTGCACCCACCTTGCCTTGCTAGGCACCCAAGATAGAGAGGGGAAATTTGGAACGAGTTGTAGGACTTACACATGCATAGTCCCAGCAACTGAGCAACAAAATCATTTGAGTCCAAATCAGTGGGCAGCAAACTCTACTCACTGTGTTGTAGAATTCAGCAATGAATGGAAACACTGAGTAATTATCTTCACACCAATCAATCTCAGAACTTCCCGGGGTCAGGTCCTTGAGCATGGTGTGAGTTCCTCAAATCCCTGGCAGTGCACCTGAAGTCGTCCAACATAGAACTTTCGTTTCAAGTATACATGTACCTGTACAGTAACCTTGGTACCTCTGCAAAAATTCACACAATAAACAATCGGTATGAAGTTACCCGTTTACTCAATTTTAAACAATTTACTTACAGCTTTCCTTTTCTTTTACAAGCACCTAGTCAGTTTCTCTATATAGTTTCTTTCATAATATATGCTCAAAAAGCCGTATCCTCTTTAAGCGATCCCTGTTCACCACTTCCCAGATTGTATCCTGGTATTGGGGTGTGATCCTTGGCTATATAGTGTTTCAGGTTTAATGGCTTCTGGCTAGCGCCCCCTGAACAGAGTTACTGACAAATGGCCGAAGAGCCACCAATGTAAGGCTGGATAGCTCAGTTGGTAGAGCACTGGTATGGTAGTCCAGAGGTCACAAGGCTTGACTAAAGTCGGGATCTCTGTGAATTCGGTTATGCTTTGGATATATATTGAGACCGTACCACGCGCTGTTACTTGCTTCGCGCCCTCTTGTGTCCACTTATCACTAGGAATTTAGTTCAGAAATCCCGACTTGATGAATCTACCAACCATTTTTACACAGCGAATGGGCTCATCTACCAAAAGTGGTAGCAGCCAATCACATTGCCAGACTTGTTTTTACGTTGTTCAAACCTGCATTATAACGAATGTGTCTACAAGTCTGACTACTTTGATTGGTGGAAATTTTGTATGCATCATGCAAGATCATGTCGTTCATATGCAATTGTGAATAACTACATATTACTGACGGGGGTCCGATTGGCTTATCTGTCGAGTCAGACTTACTGATTGGTGACATATGACACACGTTCTACAAAAAAGGCTATCAAATGGGGGTGCCTTATAAGTATGGAATTCCATATCTACCATCGTCCGTCGTCCATCGCCTGTCATGCGTCGCCCGTCGTCTGTCATTTTTATTTTTGACCCTTGATCGTTTCACATGTACATATCCTTGATCGATCAATCCACCCTGCCTGACTCTATTTTTAGCAATAGAACTAGAAGATGTATTCGTTTTTACAGTTGCGCCGAACTCCACTTGAGAGAAGAAATAATATCCTCACATCGGTAAAGTGACGTGTATTTGAAAAAATACCATTTTTTGTTGCATAAATAAATTAACAAAACAGACTTTTGTTACGGAAGATTGTTTTTCTCGATAACTTAGTTACTCTAGACGTAACTTTACTCGTTAACGGCCTGACTTTAGGCCTATAGCCTATGTAATATTTTTGTCTGTCCCTGCACGATATCCCACAGAATGGAATGTAAATAATAGATTATTTACAATGTTTGATTCCTTAATAG